TTGAGTAATGAAAAGCAGTAGATACATCACATGGAAAATATTTTTGGTATACCCAAATTAAAGGTGCTACTTCTTGGAATATAGTTCTACCTGAAATGTTAATTCAGTGGTGTATTTTAAGTAAAATGAAAAGGATTTACTTCAAATGGAGGTGAAAATTTCTATCAAGCTGCATTTGATTTCCTGTGACATTTAAAGTTAAGTTTGCTTTTGAGGAACATTTTGATAGAACATGCCATAATACTAGTTAATATCGAGTATATTCAGGATTAATTCTTCCGACACAAGAAAACTTGGGAAAGTTTTTGATAGAGTTTAATATAACTAGCAGCCTCCATCCAGTTTCTCAACTTACTGAAATGGTTTCACACTTATATTTATCATACTTTTCATCTGTTTTCTAATGTTCAGTTTATAATTAAATAATATGCATGGGCTAGTTTAGTATCAATCTTGAGATTTTAATAGAAAATGTCCATATAAATGCTCAACTAATCTTAGTTAAATTTAGTTACTTAGTTCTTAACCTTTGAGTTATGGGTCCCTTTTTAGGAATCTAATGAAAGCTACAGATCATGTCTAGAAAAATAAAAGGGCTCGCCCTGGCTGGATAGCTCAATTGGTTAGGGTGTTGTCCGGATAGGCCACGGTTGGGGTTTGATTCCTGGTCAGGGACTTACAAGCAGCAACCAATGAATGCATGAGATGAAGCAACAAATCAAAACTATGTAAAACAAAAGGGCTCAAATTTGCACAGAATTTCAAAAGGACTAAACTTGGGCTTTTATGCTACTTACTGATTTTTACCAACCTATGATTAGGTGTCCATTAGGAATGAATAGCAAGTTACTGGGAGAATTGCAAGACAATAAAAGTTTGGGTTTGGGGAAGGGGGGTGAGGGGAGTTTAAAAATGAAATTAGAACAAAAAGATAATAGTATTCACTTATTTCCCTTCTGCAAAAGAGTTTCCTTTGTGAATATAAGTAGATGATTTGAACATTGAGATGAGGCCCAGACATTGGCAGATTGTAAGTTTTTTTTAAACTGATTCCAATGTGTGATCTTGACTATACTCTGACCAGTTCCCTGGTTACATTGGCCAACTGATGAGCTTAAACTTGGTTTAGGTCCAATCTGATTCGGTCGTAACTTCTGAATTCCTCCTTGAATGACTGACCCAATTACAGGACTTCTTCAGTAGAGCTGATTTTATGGGGAAGGAAACATTTTTCCCCAGCAGTTTTGGCCTCTGAAATCCCTCCATTCCATTCTAAGAGCCACCAGCTTTTTGCCTTCTGAAGAGGTGTTTTTCATTTTAGGATCACTGGCTGTCAACATTTGTTACTGTGGGAACATGACAGCGTGAATACAATCAACTGAAAAAAATACCAGCATCATAGCTGACTTCAAACCCATTGTTCTGTTCCTCAACTTTGATTGTTGAGATTACATATCTGTGACATAATCATGATCCGTAATGTAATGCACTGGCGAAGTGTTCAGGTTGGGTGGGGGTGTGGGGCCGGGTGTCTTAACCTATTGCAAACATGAGTTCTACCTATTCAAGGTAAACCACTGGCCTCCGCTCCCAAGTCCACCTTCATTACTCTACATTGTGCTGCTGGAGCTGAGCCCTTACTATTTCTCTTGCCTGCTGGCACAGTACCGCACTGGTCAGTAGAGGATGCAGAAGCAAACCGCTGCCCGGTTCTGGTGAGGCTGTCTAATTCTGAAGTGCATAGGACCTTGGCCTGTCTAGTGGTGCCTCACGGGAGGCTGTTTCCCAGCAAGTCTTTCTGGTGCTTCCTAGTAAGTTCAATGGCACCCCTGTGGGTGGCCTCCTAAGGAGTTTTGTTGACACCCCTTCCTCTCTAGCCCCACACTCCAGCACCTCAGTAAAGAGTGGGTCACCGCCACGCCCTCTCCAACAAAGTGCATGGGAGTCTCGCAAGGGAATCTCTTCCAAAGTTGTTCCTCCTCGGGTCCTCGGCCTACAGGTGGTGGCTGCTCCTGTAGCCACTATTCCTGTATTCTTAGGTGCCAGAGGCCGGTCCATCCTTGTTGCTTGACACAGTCGCTGCAGGGAAGAAACATCTGCACAGCATATGTTTCAAGGGACCTGGCGTATACAGCATACTGTTCTTAATATGTTTGCTCCCCCTTTTTTAGCGCTATGTGTTATAACCAGAACCACCTCCCTGAGAAAGGTTGTTTCCCCAGGTGGGGATTTTTCCCTGGAGTTAGGGATGAACAGGACTAAGAGAATAAATCAGTAAAACCCCCTAGTGTTACAGAAATACCATGTACTACTTATGAAGAACTTGGACTAAGACTGTTGGCAATAAATTTGGGACTTGTTGGGCCCGCATCCCCAGGGGTCTGCCCACCAGGGAAAGCACCAAAGCCTATACCCCTGGAGACCCACCGGCACAGGGCAGTCCCAGGGAAGGCAAGCAGCGGGGCTGGGAGGACATAACCTTTACTGGGTAGGATAATCTCCAGTCACTTCCTTGTAGCTTATCAGTAGAGCAGTAGAATAGTGACCTTGGAATAGCCCTTATAATGGAACACAGAGATTAACCTAGACAAGATTAAAATCAACAGAACTAGATAGAGACAGGATTTTTGGCAAAGGTCAGAAAAGAAACTATGGAAATGAAACAAGGAACTGTAGAAGGTTACCCAAAGCATACCATAATGTGATTATAGAGGCATGCTTAGAGGATCAAATGGTATAAATACAGATGTAACAGGACAAAAAGAGAACCTGGCTCTGCTGATCAACTGAACGCTGTCTCCGTGTCATTCCTTCTTCGCCGACTACGTCCACACCTTTGGGAACCCCTGGACCCGCTGGGGCAGGACCCCGACACTTAGGCATTCTCTTTACCCTTAGTAATTAATCCTCTGTTACTGATTAGTAATTCTTTACATCAAAGTTTCCCTGTTCCAATTACTGTTTTTTGTCTCCTGAATGGCCCCTGGCTGTTACAGTGGATTAAGATACCAGTCACAAGGGTGCCCCTCCATAGGCTGGTTGATAACCCCTTCTGTAGTTTAGTATAAAGGGCTCAACCAGACAGGTTGAGAATGATGTAAGCGAATCAGACTGGCTCCTAGAATTTTGCCTGACAACTAAGTAAAAATTGTCCAGTCCTCAAAACAATGGGCAAGACTTGGATAGTTGACGTTTGAGGATGCCCATTCTCTCTTCATTTTCTTTTTTCTTTTTATGATGGTCTGTATTTCTCTTTGGAATCCACAAGTCTAACTGGATTCTTTTACTATAGTCGTCAGGGATTCCTGATCAGGGGAGGTCTTCCTGACATTTTCTTGAAACTTCACGCTTATCTATCTGTGCTCAGCACCGGTAAGGAAATGTCATCTACTTGACTGGACTTGGCAAAGAAGTGGAAAAACACATTTTAGATACAATTGCTTTTCCTTGCTGGGATGGTGTGTCCAAGGGCAGAGGTCCCGTCTGGGTGTGGTGGGAGAATGGAGTGTGAATTAGGGCCACCATCCATCTCCTAGTGTCCAGTCTTCCTGTACAGTCAGCCTTACCCCATGTTCCTTCTACATCGCTAAACAACTCCATTCCCCCTACAATGGCTACTTTAAATCTTTGCTAGTTTCTTAGCTCATTCTCACTTCACATACTGAGACTATCAGGTAAAAAGTCCCTCAACTTGCTGCCTTCTCTCTGCTATGATAGCTGGAGCTTTATCTTGGACAAATAAGAAAGGGCAGATGCCTGGCCGGTGTGGCTCAGTGGTTGAGCATTCAATTCCCAGTCAAGGGCACATGCCTTGTTGCAGGCTTGATCCCTAGTAGGGGGTATGCAGGAGGCAGCCAGCTGATCAATGATTCTCTCATCTTTAATGTTTCTATCTCTCCCTCTCCCTTCCTCTCTGAAATAAAACAATAAATTAAAAAAAAAAAAAGGCAGACTAGGAAATTGGAAAGGAGCCTGGGTCTTTGAGGACTCCTTGGAAAAGAGTGGCCTCCACTATTTTATATCAGAAAGAAACTATCCTTTATCCACAGATTATCTTTGCACCTTTGCTGAAAATCAATTGTCCTTCTATGCGTGGGTCTATTTTTGGACTTTGCTCCATTGATTTATTTATCTTATCTTGATGCCAATTCTTGTATTTAATCTTGCCTTAATTACTGTAGCTTTAGAAGTCTTAACGCCTGGGAAGGTCAGTCCAGCCCTCTTTACCCCATCTTGGTTGGAAGCAGAGATCAGACTGATGCGCTTAATCCCAGCTCCACCATTTAGCACTTATGTGATTTCATATAAGTCAGTTAATAATGCTTATTAGTCATGTATGTACTTGTCTATTGTTAGAATTAAATATTATAGTGCTTGGATTAAACGTTAATTATTATTAGGAGCTGAACTAGGGCCCTGTCCGGTGTGGCTCAGTGGGTTGGGTGTCGTCCTGTTCACTGAAAGGTTAGCAGTTCGATTCAGTCATACAAGCCCAAGTTATGGACTCCATCCCCTGTAGGGGACACGCAGGAGGCAGCCCATCAATGTTCCGTTCTCACATCGATGTTCCTCTTTCCTCCTCTTTCTTCCTCTCTCTTTCAAAACAAAAATCAATAAAAATATATTTTTTTAAAAAGAGCCTGAACTACGTACGGAAGATGGCTCTGGGAATAAAAGGTATTGGAACTGCAGGGTGGAACTGGGGATGGATGAACTTGCTCCGCTCATTAAGGACTGCCCGCCGTCTTTCCCAGCTCAGGGACATGCTCCCGCCTTTTCATCTTTATTTATTTTTTGAGCTATAAGTGACATGCAACACGGCGTAAGTCTGAGGTGCACACCATGTTGGTTTGACAACATTTACATATTACAATGTGATGACTATAGCAGCATTAGCTAAACGCCTCCACATCACCGCATTTCCATTTCGGTGTGGAGACACCTCTTCCCTTTGAGGTGTGTAAAGCAGTAGTATCCTGGATGAACTCACCGCCTTGGATCTCAGGACTTAGTCATCTGCCCCTTGTAAGTTTGTGCCCCTCAGCAATACCTCCCTGTGCCCCGGCCCAGCCCCCTGCCCTGTGGTCTTCCATAGTGAAGTTTGGCAGCAAATTGCCCTGGACAGCAGGCTGATCACTTCCTACAGAGACAAGAACAATCACCCAGGCGAAAAGGGATAAATAAAACCGGCCAGGAGCCCCACATTGAAAAGGATCATCCCGCTATCTCAACAATTTTCTGCGCAGCTTGGTAACATTTTTATGTAGAAACAAATGTTTTTTAAAAAGAAAAGGAGAGCGTTCTCCGTGTTACCTTCAAACCCAGGTCACAGCAGCTTTTCGGCTGGCTTGGCCTGGCTTTCTTCAACTCTCTCTTTTTTTTCAGGCTTTGCAGTACCTGTCCCTGCCGGTCTCCAGGCCCCCAGTTACAGGTCAGCTCCACGCCGAAGGGGAGGAGCTACTGGCCAGGTTCTGTTCCCAGCATCAGGGCCCCACATCCCAAGGACCTACAGTGCCTCCTGGGGACCAAAGAGGACCCCATCTCTCCGTCGTGTGCCCTGTGAGTGCCGTGTCCAACACCATGGGTGGCGGGCCCAAGAAAGGTTTGGCTTTGATTGGATTCAGTCTTCTCTGCCTTAAAATGGTGAGTTGATCATTCTGACCTTCTTGCAACTATTTTGGGGGAGGCAGGGGGAAGACATAAATTACCTGTCTCTTTTAGGGCCCAGGGGGTAGGGAGGAAGAAATCGAAATACCCTTGAATCATACTAAGATTGTGTATGTTTGTGTGTTTGAAATGTGATTCCATTTACTAGCGAAAGAAAACAAAATTATCATTGTATTTTAAGAACAAAGATTTCTGAGAAAAATCTGTCAGTAGCGACTGACTTAGTTCAATAGGCAGATTCAGGGAGAAAAATGAAATAGTAACGTGACCCACCTCCAGCCTCTAAGTGCTATTTAGGATTGCTTTGTGGTGGATTTGAGTGTGCGGAAATGACCTGTGCAAATGAACACTCCGTCTGGAGCGAAAGATTGCTCACGGCATGTGTAAAATGTGATGAATTTATTACCCCTTTGATTGATGTTTTTACATTTCCCCAAATGGCGTTTTTCTTTATGGTTCTAATTTTCCAAACTTTCCTTTTCAGGTTGCTTCAGCAAAAACAGGTACAGTTTTCTAAAATGCAAGCTCCCCCTCCCCATGTTTGATCTGAATTTTCATTGTGCATTCTTGGCTACCCTGAACTATAAAGGCTCTCCCAGAAAAAAGTATTCAACGTTTTCTGAACACGCACACTGTGAGCGGAGCTGGTAAGATAAATATACGGATCAAACTTAAAAAGTAAGTCCTCCCCCTAGCTAGTTTGGCTCAGTGGATGGAGCAGTGGCCTTCAGACTGAAGGGTCCCGGGTTCGATTCCTGTCAAGGGCACATGCCCAGGTTGTGGGCTCGATCCCCAGTAGGGGGCGTGCAGGAGGCAGCTGATCAATGATTATCTTTCATCAATGACGTTTCTATCTATCCCTCTCCTTTCCTCTCTGAAATCAATAAAAATATATTTTTTAAAAAAGATAAGTCCTCAAAAAAAATACAAAAGAACAAAGATAAGTCCTCTTAAGATGTTCTTATTGAGTACTAAGTGTTATAGAGCAGTGGTTCTCAACCTTCCTAATGCCACGACCCTTTAATACGGTTCCTCATGTTGTGGTGACCCCCAATTTCATTTTCACAAATTGAACATAATTAAAGCATAGTGATTAATCACAAAAACAACATGTAATTATATATGTGTTTTCCGATGGTCTTAGACGACCCCTGTGAAAGGGTCGTTCGACCCCCCAAAGGGGTCGCGACCCACAGGTTGAGAACCGCTGTTATAGAGTCAGTAGTTATGGGTTTTCTCAAACAGAGGTAGCCATCAGTAAAATATTACAAAACCATCATTTCAGTCCAAGAAACAAAATTTCAGTCATAAATAGTGAGGAGTCTAATTTATATAACTTCTTATTTGTCTTCTGAGGAATTAGAGCAAAAAACTAGAAATGTTTTTTAATTAAAATCTTAAGATTCTCCACTTTTTTTCCACTTTAATAAAAAATATTTTACACTTCTAATATTGCATCCTTAAAATATAGACAATGGTACCGTGGAGCTGGAAAAAGGCTTTAAAAAACCCCCCCACTATTTTATTACCTTTTTTTTTTTTTTTTAATAAATGACTGAAGGCACAGATAATTTCCCTAAAGGCCTCTCCTAGCTCATACATTCTAGAAACCTAAGTCCCCAGAATGGAAATGTATATTCAGTGGGATTTAGATGGTCTGGAGGGATCTTATAACATCGATTATATCACCAGTAAACTCTCACACCAATTCAACATAAGAATAATTTTATCTTATTATTTTAAAAAATATGTTTTTATTGGTTTTTAGAGAACAAGGAAAGGAGAGAGATAGAAAGATAGAAACATAGATGAGAGAGAACCATCGATCAGCCGCCAGACTACAGCCCAGGCATATGCCACGATCAGGAATTGATCCGGTGACCCCCTGGTTCATGGGTCAACACTCAACCACTGAGCCACACCGGCTGGGCAAGAACAAATTTATTATTTTATTATACCCCAGTAAAGGAAGTATAAATAAGGCAGTTTCAAATTTGATATTAGACATATGGCTGAGCCATAAAATGCATGCATCTACCATAGGTTTTTAAAAATCATTTTATGCTTGATTCTTATTCACTCATTCTTGAGAAACCTTCTGAATTGATCAGAAAGTTATGAGAAGGACTGTCTAGCCACATACAGAGTGATTGTGTTATAATTGCTTTGAGTGGACAAAACGTAGCATGGCTGTCTCCTGGAGGCCCCAGGACACACTCACGGAGCCCGGAAGGAGCCCCTTTTTAGTGTCCCTCACTATTAGGGGGGCCGGCTGAGATCCGATGGTGGCTGGCGTCCATTGACTCGCCCTGGCTGTTTCACAGGTTTCCATTCAGATGTGTGTCTTCTGATGCTCCTCGGGCTCTGGCGTCAGCTGTTTGTGATCTGTGTCTGGGCGCCCGGGCCATGCGGCTCATTTAGACCCTGAGCTGGGAGAATGCACAGATGCTGAGCATCCAGGGTCTCGCTTCTGACTCATGGGCATGGCTGACAAACGCTTTCTCTCCCATCAACGCGCCAGTGGGCCCGACACAGAACCGAGACAGAGGGAAGGGCTGCTGATGTGTGGAACCTGCCCCCCACACAGGCTGCTCTTCTCCTTGGGGGACAGGACAGAGGTGTTGATCTTTTGTTGCTGTGCCTGTTCAGATCCTGCCCTACAATCAAGTGAAAAATGGGCACAACAGGCAACCTGTCTCTCCAAGAGCCTGTGCCGGCCCCAGACTCCCCAGAATCTCGCTTTCCCTGACACCCCTGCACGGCACTGCCATGCCGACTGGCTTTTCCAAACCAGAACTCGCCCACCCTGTTACACACACACACACACACACACGCATACACATGCACACACACATGCACACACACACACAGGCCCTTCCTACCTTGCAAAGTCCCCTTACATACACCCTTTCCCTTCATCTTTAGAGCAGTCATGAGATGTAGGTATTTAAACATGTAGGTATTATTAATATTCCACATTCTCCAGGGAGAAAATGGTGACTAGAAGAGGTGAAATGACTCGTACATGTTCACAAGCAAAAGTAAATGGCTCAGCCCTGGACGGCGTGCCCAGTGGTTAGAGCATCGGCCTGAGCACCGAAGGGTCTCACATTCGAGTCCCTGTCAAGGGCATGGACCTGGGTTGTGGTTCACTCCCCACCCCTGATCAGGATGCGTGCAGGAGGCAAGCAGTCGATGTGTCTTTCTCACATCAACGTTTCTCTCTCCCACCCCCTCCCCTTCCTCCCTTCCACTCTCTCTCTCTCTCTGAAAACCAATGGAGAAATATCCTCATGTGAGGATTTAAAGAAAAAGAAAGTAAAAAGCTCAAGCCCAGAGTTCCCAAATCCGAACCTCTGCTGTTTCCCTGCCACCCGGCCCTGAGCTCCGCCGGCTGAAACCCGGTTCATGTGGGACGCCTGGGCAGTGAGCCTCCCCCAGCTCAGTTCAGCAAGTTTTGTGGAGGCTTCAGGCCCCTTGACAGGCCTGCAGGGAGTTCATCTGTGACCTACTAGTTGTTTATATTCCTCTCCACCCTCTCCCCATGACTCTCAGGCCTCCTGTGTCTGAGTGGCTAACTTGGTTGCCATTTTCCCAGGAAGTTATTCCATCCCAATGAGCAAGACTGGCTGACGTAGAAGATAAACTATGGGGACAAAGGAAACAGAAGGAGCTGAGAGACACCACAAATGCAGAGGAAAGATAGCAGATAACACAGGACCAATAGCTGGGGGAGCAGGAAAGGGATGCGGTGTGGGAGGGATGAAAGGGTGAGACCCTCTTCGAAATCTCAGAGCGCAGGTGGGGGAGGGGGAGCGGGTGGGAAAAGATCAACCAAAGACCTGTATGCATATATGCATAACCCATGGGCACAGACTATAGTGTGGTGAAGGCCTGGGCAGGGGGTGGAGGCAGGCTAGAAGAGGTCAATGGGGAAAAAAGGGGGCATATGTAATACTTTCAACAATAAAGATTTAAAAACCCCTGGCTGGTTTGGCTCGGTGGATAGAGCATCAGCCTGTGAACTGAAGGGTCCCAGGTTTGATTCCAGCCAAGGGCACATGCCTGGGTTGTGCACTTGATCCCCAGTAGACAACGTGCAGGAGGCAGCCAATTCATGGTTCTCTCTCATCATTGATGTTTCTCTCTCTCTCTCCCTTTCCCTTCCTCTCTGAAATCAATAAAAATATATTTTAAAAGAAAGAAAGAAAAGAAAAGAAAGAAAGAAAGAAAGAAAGAAAGAAAGAAAGAAAGAAAGAAAGAAAGAAAGAAAGAAAGAAAGAGGAAGTCCCTGCTGGGACTTTCTATGCTGAAGGGAAGGCGGGGGTGGGGTGGGGGTGGTGGTGGGGGTAGAGGGAAGAAACGGGGACATGGCGCTTCCTGCAGAGGCAGCTTCTGCTGGCAAATGGCTGGGATGGGCAGGCAACTCCCCCCTCCCCCCTCCAACCCCCACCCCAGAGCCTAAAGAACCATCATCCTTTTCTACCGATGGCAGAGGGGACAGTCCTGGGTGACGTTCAAGGAATGCCTGGCCCGCGCACAGTGCGGACTTTGTTCATCCTGGCAGCATGGCTGTTTCTGAGACGCTGCCAAGGCCAGCTCTCCGGGTTATTGGTCCAGAAAGAGAAGGTGTCTGTGCCATGCACACGGGGGCTTGGCAGGTGGGGGCTGCCGGGGGAGGGGGTGACACTGGCAAGTCACCCATTGGGTCTGTGTCTACTCTCCCTCCTCTGTGCCCTCTAGTTACGTTCTGCCTTTTCGTTTGGAGTTTGGCATGTGGTGATTTTACCCAGCAAATATTTGCTCCACGCTACACGGAAAAGGCCAGGCGCCTGTTTCAAACCAGCTATTTTTATTTGACCTTTTCTTCCACTTGGATCAACATCCGGGGCATTTTTGTGCCTGTGGGGTTTTTGCAAAAGTGGCAAATCTGATGACCATGCTGTGCCTCCCACCCGTGCTGAAAGCCTAGGAACGCCTTGTATGAGCTTGTGACATGAACGGGCATAGCTCCCTGGCAACCCATGGCCAGGCCTAGGGGAGGAGGGACCAGAGCAGCCCGAGGCAGATATTTTGATAGAGAAAGGGTGAACAAAGTTGATTTTTATTTTGTATAAAACAATCTGAAAATGGTCCCATTCTAATAATATGAAAGAAATACGGTGGCGTGGTTATACAACAAAACTCAATTCTCCCTGCTTCCTCTATTAGATTACATGCATGAATGGAGACTCCGCCACGGCAAGGTGGGGAGGGAGGTGGACTCTCGCTGCCCTCAGTGGAGAGTAGCCATGGGGCTGGGGGTGGAGATAGTGGCAAAGCAGGCTGGGAAATTACCAGGATGCCAACCTAGAGTAGAATCTTCTGGAATAAAGCCCCTCAAAGACCCTCTCCCTCCTCTCAGAGATCTTTCATCATTCCCTACTCTTATTTCACTCTTAAAAATACAGAAGGTGCAAATTATCCCAGAGGCAAGTGGGGAAAACCTCTTTGAAATCTCACTCCTGAATGGAATGTTTGAGCTTTCTGGCTCTCTTCTGGAAAGTAGCTTTGCCTTTCTTTTTCTCTGTTTCTTCTTTTTTAAAAAAATATTTTTATTGCTTTCAGAGAGGCAGGGAGAGGAAGAGAGAGAGATAGAAACATTAATGATGAGAGAGAATCATTGATTGGCTGCCTCTTGCATGCCTCACACTGAGGATTGAGCCCGCAACCTGGGCATGTGCCCTTGACCAGGAATTGAACCCTGACCTCCTGGTTCATAGGTTGACGCTCAACCACTGAGCCATGCGGGCCGGGCTGTTTCTTCTTCTTCTTTTTAATCTGAAAAGTCAGGGCAGAGTCTGTGTCTGAAGGATGACGCAAAAATGGTGTAGTTTGCCAAGTAAAATGATGAAGGAAGTCGTTCTTATAGGTGTCCTAGCTAATGGTCAACTTCAAAATCTCTTTCAGCTCCTGAAACACCCACTATTGACCAGGCATACTCAAAAATCAGCAACAGTATCACCGTGGAATGGGCCACCGTGCCAGGCGCCACCAGTTACCTCCTCACGGCCAAAAATGGGGACACCGTCATTGAAACCACGGTGGCCAATTCCCCGGGCACTGTCACGGGCCTGAAGGCAGCCACCTTGTACCAAATCACCGTCAGCTCCATCAGTGCCGCTGGGCGGAGCCAGGCGTCACCTCCAACACAGGCAAAGACAGGTAGCTGGACGCCCAGCCTCCTCCGAGCCATCGCTCGGGACCTGGACCAGTTACACTGACGCAGCCATGGCGCGATGCGGTTCTGTGTTGCGTGAGTGCCTGTGATTCAGGGCCCAGAAGTCAAAGCCACCAATGACGTCCTTTGGAAATGTGGTTATCTGTGGAGAAGGTGGCATTTAAACTCCAGATGCTTTGGGAAATAAGCATTCCTGGGCATCTTGAAAAGCATCCCTGCTTGTAAATCTCTGAAAAAGGGATTTCTATTTTTAACCCGTTATCCATCAAGACCGGGCAGAACAAAGGGCACGAAAGAGAAGGGCAGCTTTGCCTTCCTCGGAATACAAGCGTCTGTGGAGTTTGTCATCAGCATAACTTAAATAGATTCGATAAAGTTGTGCCCAGGCGTATTTCTGACAGGTGGTCGGGGTAGTAAAATGGAATGAACCACTATTTACCCCACAGACTTATGTGTTGATTACAGGGATGTCTTGTTTAATTTCTCACCATCCTCCAGCTTAAAGTAATGCCTAATATTAGAATTTCTCTGTTCCCCATTCCTGGGATGAACTATTTGTAATGAACACACATTTAAATAGCAATTCTTGTGTTTTTATTTAAATGGCAGTTCTTTTTTCTAATAGCAGTTCTTCATGAAACTCTGCCTTGAATCTTTTTTTGCAAAGCAAATCATTATTTCCTAACATGGCTAACCCACCTCAGACTACTTCCTCCTAAATCAGAATTATTCCTCCACCAAACCTTTGTAATGCAAACACACGCGATTTTGCCTTTGTAGTGCTGGCCGCACCGGTTCTAGAAGTGAGCTCTCCAAGTTCAGACTCTATTCTCGTGCAGTGGGAAGCCGTATATATGGCCACCGGGTTCTCTGTGTCCATCATGCGAGCCAATGGTTTGGGTAGAATATGGAAGGAGAATACCACAAACACCACCTTGACATTCACCAGTTTAGACGCCGGGACGCTCTATACCATCAAGGCCTATGCGTGGAATGCCAACGGGACCCCTGGGGATGACTCCACCTGCAACCAGAGAACGAGTAAGACTTCCCCGCTCGCTCGCCTCAAGCTCCTTTGTGGTTAAGGAGAGGGGCTGTGCCTGGGAGCCATCCGGCGCTGTGTTGAGTGATGAGCACAGAGCAGCTGGCAGCAGCTATTCGAATGTATGATGAGTTTATTTATAGTTCCCTGCCTGTCCCCCTGGGCATTTTAAATGCTTACTGCATGAACGAAGAAATGCTCATTTCACAGCATTTGTAACTAGTTAAGATGACGTCATGGGGTGGGCCCTAATCCAGTATGACTCATGTCCTTATAAAAAGAGGGAAATTTGGACCCAGACATACACAAGCAGGGAGAATGCCATATGAACCCCAGGGCCACTTTCTACAAGCCAAGGAGAAAGGCCTGGAAGGCAGCCTTTGTCACAGCCCCTGCCAACGCCTTCATTTCAGACTTCTAGTGGTCAGGACTGCGAGACAATACATCTCTGTTGTTTAAGCCACTTTTTATTTATTTTTTAAAAATATATATTTTATTGATTTTTTTTTTAGGGAGAGAGAGATAGAAACATCAATGATGAGAGAGAATCATTGATTGGCTGCCTCTTGCACCCCGCTACTGGGGATTGAGCCCGCAACCCAGGCATGTGCCCTTGGCTGGAATCAAACCTGGGACCCTTCAGTCTGCAGGCCGACGCTCTATTCATTGAGCCAAACCAGCTAGGGCTTTAAGCCACTTTAAAATATATATATTTTTTTATTGATTTCTGATAGGAAGGAGGGGGAGAGATAGAAATATCAATGATGACAAAGAATCATTGATCAGCCGCCTCCTGCACGCCCCATACTGGGGATCGAGTCTGAAACCTGGGCCTGTGCCCTGACTGGGAATCGAACTGGGACCTCCTGGTTCATAGATCAATGCTCAACCACTGAGCCACGCTGGCTGGCTGTTTAAGCCACTTAGTTACAGCAGTCCCAGCAAAGTCAGGCTAAATCCAAAGTCTCTAAAACTTAAAGCACGGGGACATGAACAAAGAGAAAGGCTTTGGGAAACCAGTCCCCCCTAGCACATGGCTCTCCCTGCTCCCCAGCCTGGTGTAGACGCTCCTCCTGCCACTCTCTGGCCCCCCACCCTCCTATCTGAGCACTTGTTAGGCCAAATCTTACTCAGGGTCTTGTGGCTACTGCCGAAATCTAAACTGTTTCTCCAAAATGCAGGTCCCCGGGCTCCCGCCGACATTCAAGTCTCTTTTGACAGCGGGGCTCTGGCCGCGTCGGTTTCCTGGGCCCCCACGGAAGGAGCCTCCAACTACACGGCGCTGGCTCGGAGTGACTCCTCCCAGCTGAGCTGCAGCACGGCCTCCAGCGGCTGCACCATCTCCTCCCTCCGCTGTGGGACCGAGTACCTGATCTCCGTGTCGGCCAGCAACGATGCCGGGTCCAGCAGGTCGGCTTCGGCGGGGACCCTGAAAACCAGTACGTAACTGCCCTGGCTGGTTTGGCTCAGTAGTTAGAGCATCGGCCCACAGACCAAAGGGTCTCGGGTTCAATTCCGGTCAAGGGCATGTACCTGGGTTGCAGGCCCGATCCCGGTCCAGGTTGGGGCATGTGCAGGAGGCAACCAATCAATGTGTCTTTTTCACATCAATGTTTCTCTCTCTCTCTCTCTCTCTCTCTCTCTCTCTTTCTCTCTCTCTCTCTCTCCTCCCTCCCTCTCTTCCACTCTCTCTTAAAATCAATGGAAAGCCCTAACCGGTTTGGCTCAGTCGATAGAGCGTCGGCCTGTGGACTGAAAGGTCCCAAGTTTGATTCTGGTCAAGGGCATGTACCTTGGTTGCGGGCACAACCCCAATAGGGGGTGTGCAGGAGGCAGCTGATCGATGTTTCTCTCTCAGTGATATTTCTAACTCTCTATCCCCCTCCCTTCCTCTCTGTAAAAAATCAATAAAATATACTTAAAAAAATCAATGGAAAAATATCCTTGGGTGAGGATTAACCAAAAAAACACACCCAAAAAACCGATAGGTAACCAAGAGCGAGGTCACCGTGGGGCTGGCGAGCAAACGTGACCGCCACGCCGACACAGGTGAAGTGAACGGGAGAGCCTGGTCGGAAGGAAAGCCTTGCGTTGGACGGGCCGATGCGGTTGAGTAACGTGGACGGGGAAACCAGACACTGGGCATTAGGAGAAGCGCGTCTTTGAAAAGAGGAGGCCGGGCTCCGGGCCCAGATCTTCCCGTGCTTGGTTCCTCTCCCACCTGTCAGGCCGCACGGTTCCTAAGACCCAGGGTGAGTCGTGCTCAGTTCGTACCGTGCAGCACAGATAACGGCCTCTTCCTGGCATCGCCTTTCACAGACCCAGGCCTGGGGGTGCTCTTTTTTAAGATAAAGAAGGGCTGTCCGTCGTTCTGGATAGGTGTCTAGCTATCTTCCCATTTCCGTTCTTATCCAAGGCGTCAGGCATACAGATGCGGAGGTTTGCTCCTCTGTTGAGAAATAGCTACGTGTCTGGTGAAGACCTGTGATGTCCCAGGCATTCTAAGTGCATCATTTTATTTAATTCTCAACGAGGCAGGTTCTGTGATCTCCTTTTTAGATAAGAAAATGGAAGCTCGGAGACGTTAAATAATTTTTCCAGGGGCTCAGTGATGGAACATCAGTTTGCCCGATTTGACGTCTCTAAGCCAAAGGAAATGTACTAACTGCAAGAATGTCCACTTTACCCCAAATGCAGAATTATGTCATTCTAAATGTAAAAGGTTGTTGAGGGGGGCAGGGGGAAAGAGATCAACCAAAGGCCTTGTATGCATGCATATAAGCATAACCAATGGACACAGACACTAAGGGGGTGAGGGCATGTGCTGGGGGGTGGGAGTGGCCAGGGAGAGGTCAATGGGGGAAAAAGGAGACATATGTACTACTATATGTAATACTTTAAACAATAAAAGAATTAAAAGAAAAAAAAGGGTTTTGAGCAGGGAGGAAGAGAGCCGCCACCAAGCCGGCACACCCTCAGATCATAAATAAATAAAATAATAATTAAATTATGTTAAATAAAATCATAACTATGTTAAAGTCGCTGATAATAAGCTAGTGACTTGGCTTCTCTTTGAACAACTCCAATTCAATGTGGTTAGCACATTGGAAACGATTAGGAGAAGCTGGGAGAGGGAGAGACCGGAAATACACTTTCACTTTTCTTCTGCCCAAAATGACTAAGGCCAAGGGAAAGGGAGAGGCCCCCGCTGTATGTCCTCTAGGCCTTTTAGAAAATACAGAGTTGTTCCTTTGGCCACATACATGCGAACCTACAGGAAAGGTGATCTGGCAGACGTATCCAGGGGATGGGCACTGTTCAGAAAGGAACGCCCACAAATGCCACCAGGAACCACTGGCTGAGTCTACAGTATCAGCAGCACGCAGGGGGCATTGTTGTAAACAAACAAGTCAAGGGCAAGGTTTTCACCAAGAGAATACAGGTACGTATTGAGCACATTAAACACGCGAAGAGCCGAGATAGCTTCCTGAAAGGTGTACAGGAAAATGATCAGAAAAAGAAGGAAGCCAAAGGGAAAGGCTCCTCCTGCCTGAGAAACTCTGCGGGAACCAATGGAAAGGGGCCTGAGCTGCTGGAACCCCTCCCTGGGAATTCATGGCATGATGAGTGGGAAATAATAATAATCATAAGAGACCTCTGTCCTGATAAAAATGTTTCTCTTAATTAAGTAGAAGTGTGGTGCCCCCTCCCCCCAAAAATATTTAAATAAAATTTTGTGTCCTAAGAAAGAAAAAAAAGAAATACACTTTGCAAAGCCCTGCAGTTCTGAGTGTCATCTAATGCCCGTGAGAACCAGCCAGTGTTTTCCATCCTGGCTGCACGGTAACAGCATTGGAGAGCTTTCATAAAGTCCAGAACCCAGGCCCCACTGAAGACCAGTGAAGTCGAGTTGCTGGGAATGGAGACTGGATCTGAGTAGTTTGTAAAAGCTCCCCAGTCGGTTCTAACATGCTCCAGGGTAAAGTGCCATTGACACAGCCCCCCACACTCTCAGTCCAGGAGGCACCACTGTAGTTTGTCTGCAACACTTACATGATCATGGAACAGCCTTGACTTACCAATAAGGGAACTATATTTAGAAAGTTCTACGTGTTTCCTGAGGCTGAGAATTGTATATTTTAGAAAGATTTCCATTAGAGATGACTAAAGGTTTAAAAGCTTAGCCCGGCCAATGTGGCTCAGTGGTTGAGCATCAACCCATGAACCAAGAAGTCACAGTTTGATGCCTGGTCAGGGCACATGCCCAGGATTTCGGGCTCTAGCCCCAGTAGAGGGCATGCAGGAGGCAGCTGATCAATGATTCTCTCTCATCATTGATGTTTCTCTCTCTCCCTCTCCCATCCTCTCTCTGAAATCAATTAAAAGCATTTTTAAAAAATAAAATTTTGAAAGCTTAGAGCTTGAAAGAATGAACTTCGGTTGAATTCATTCCTTCAGAGGACTTCATTCTGTGCTGATCCTGGCATTAACGCAGAAACAACATTGAACAATCCGTGACTGTTTCCAACACAGTCTAGCATGCACGGGTCGAGATAAATTTCAGGGCACGTGCGAATGTCTGGTTGGCTTGCACATGCTGTCTGATGTATTCCTTGTTCACAGCATCCGGGATCTGGGACAACTGCAAAGACACAAAGTAAACCTCTCACAACTGTTTATCGTTCCTCATTTCCTAGTTGCTTGTGCACCTGGAAGAGTGATGATCCAAGAAGACCCCCCCGGCCACCTGTCTGTGTCTTGGTCCAACGTGGACCTGGGTGATTACTACGTGGCCTTTGTGAAGAGTGACGACGGCTTGGAAGTTCACTGCAACACATCCCTCCCCCGGTGCGACTTCCCCTCTGCATGTGGCTTCACTTACTTCATCAGCGTCTTTGCCTATAACAGGGCGGGGCAGAGTCCTTTGGGCGACGTGTTCAATTACACCACAGGTAAGTCACCCCTGACGCTTGTAAAGGGGGATCCGAGTCCACTACACGGAGCAGTAAAATGGATCGCCTGTTACATAGCCCCGCTGGGGGCTACTCTAGGGCCAAGAACGGAAAGTGGATCTCTCCTTTCACATTCTTTCCGGGCTAGGAAGTTTTGGCTCCCTGGACCAAAGCTTAACCGGAATGCAAGGGTTTGGAGGGAAAAGAGGGGAAAGAATGTAGTTGTCCAACCCCGCTCTGAAAAATGGACCCCTCCGCCCAGGTGTTCAGCTCTTGCGCGAGGTGTCCAAGGGGATGCAATCCTTATGTCTCAGGAGTTCACTCCTTCCCCCAAACCAGGAAACAGATGCAAAGATGCTACGTGGTGTGGAGGGCTTTGCAGAGGGACGCCTGGGTTCAGGCCCTAAGTTGAGCACCAACTTATTTGTAAACTGGGGACAACGATGTCTACCTTGCTGGTTCCTCTGTATCCCCCACTGCCAAATGGGACAGATAACGGGAAGATGAATATGAAAAGGTCTTTGCATGAGACAAGGCACAATGCAAGCATTTTTATTAGCATCGTGATTACTGTCACTAATTAACCTCCTCCACTAGGCTTGGATCTCCTATGGAGCAGGGATGATGTTCTATTTATCTCTTCATCCTCAATGCTTGTCATAGTGTGGTTGGCTCGATGTGGGAGATGCTCAATTTTTGAAGGATGAATGGAGTGAGTGACTTAAAACCAGTCAACTATATTTGCAGATAAGAATACTGCAATATCATTATGTAGAAAGCAACGCTAGCTGGATTGTAGTACATGTTACCAGGGTGAGGGGATCAAGTCATCGCTGCCTTGGAATTTGGAGAAAGAGGCCTCCAGAGTGCGGGAGCGTCTTCCAGAGGGAGTGACCTTGAACTGGATCTTTAAGGACAGGTGGCAGGCAGGAGGGGCAAGAGCATTCCAGAGACACTCCAAGCTGAGTTAGACACTGGTCAGAATTTGTCCGTGAGTTAGTGTAGGGTCTCTTCTAAAACCTGCTCATAGGGTGCTGCCGCCTGCCCTCCTCCGCCCCCAGCTTTATCTGTTTCAGAGCCTGGAAAGGCCGATAGGATGGAGCAGTTGGACAGAGACTGGTTTGTCGGACAGAAGAGGGGAATGGCATTCCAGCAGAGGGCTCGGCGGTCTTGGAGGCACAGGGAAATGAGAGCCCGTGTGTGGTGGGGCGTCGAGGAGCCTGGGAGGCAGGGGGCCCAGGGAGGTGCAGCTGAACAGCAGACTGGGTACAGCTCATAATGAACTTGAATGTCAGGCTTAGAGGGTTCATCCTCCGTGTAGCAGGTCTTCGGCCCCGTTCGGAGCTGGAAGGTCTAGGAGGGTCTTGCAATAATTGAGGGCAGTGACAGCGTCCTGCACGGGGAGGTCAGGGCCTGCTCCTGTGCTGCCCTCCACCCCCTCTCCGTGTCTGCTCCCAGCTCCCTGCTGTCCTAGCGACATTAACCCCGTGCTGGTGTCCAGCGACCGAGTGGAGATGGTCTGGTCTCCCGTCCGGGGTGCCGAACTTTATGAGACCAGGGCTGCCGACGGGTTCAACGTGGTGGAGTGCCACGACACGGCCCCCGCGTGTACCCTCTCTGCCCTGGAGTGCGACACCAAGTACAACATCACAGTGTATTCCTTCAGCGAGGCCCGGGGCAGCAATACCTCCTGTGCTTCCCGGCTCATCACCACCGGTACGATCCGCTAAGCTTCCACTCGCTGACCCCACCCGCCCCAGCTGTGTGCCCCAGGGTGGGCCTGCAGCAAGAACCACAGGCATGCAAACTCCCGCTCCCGCTTCTGTGGGACCACTGGGGCTCGTCTTACTAAGGGGAGGCTGAGCGAGGGTGGAAGAGGGGAATTGGGGGAAAAGAAAACGAAAGAGGAGACCGTGGGGATGGTGGAAGGTTTTGCCTGTCAGCCATTCACTTGCCCTACCTTTGGGGGTCCTGCCTGTATTCCCACCATGAAGGTTCAGACCACACATTTTTGTCTCAATTACTTTTTTTAAAACTAGGCTTTTATCGATGACAGAGAGGAAGTGAGAGGGAGAGAGATAGAAACATCATCTCTATCAGCTGCCTCCTGCACGCCCTCTGCTGGGGATCAAGCCCACAACCTGGGCATGACAGGGAATCGAACCCTGACCTCCCGGCTCATGGGTCAACGCTCAACCACTGAGCCACACCAGCCAAGCTCAATTACTTTTGCTTTTGGAGTCCAAAACGTAGCATTTCCCAGTTAGTGGATGCTCTAGGAACCCCAAACCATCTGTCCATGGCGCCAGGGTTTCCACACAAAGACTATGAATGTGGCCTGCTCCCGGCGGGGGGTGGGGTGGGGGGGGTGGGGGGGGTCGGGGGGTGGCTGGAAGGGACACTGATCTCATTGGGGGGAGAAAGTCAGTTTTAGAGCAAATGGCACAGGGGAGGGGATGTTTTTGACTCTCATTGTTTCAGCGAATAACCTGAACTCTCTCAGCTCCTTGCAGTCCTGAAATACAAAGCATTTCGAAGGACGCCTTCTCCGCGATCCACGTGCACTGGAGATCCCGGAACCAGGGCGCCACCTACACCGTGACAGCGCGGGGAGAGGAGGGGCTGTATCGGTGCAGCAGCTCGGGCCAGGCCTGTGCCCTGGGCGGCCTGCCCTGCGGCTCCCTGTTCTCCGTCACCGCGGTGGCCGAGACGCAGGCGGGACGGAGCCTGCCCAGCTACAGTGTCCCCCTGGAGACAGGTACGTGGCCGCCACCAGCCTGCACCCCATCCAGTGGGGTCCTGAGGAACTGTTTGAAGACAGGAACTATTTCACTTGATCTACCCGATGTGGGATAGAGACATATGAAACTCAGAGGCCTTTCCAAGAGCCGCAGTCTTGCCCTGGCTGGGTAGCTCAGTGGGTTGGAGCCTCGTCCCAATATGCCAAGGTTGTGGGTTCAATCCCCCGTCAGGGCCCAGACAGGAATCAACAAGCTCATGTCTCTCTCTCTCTTTCTCTCTCTCTTTCTCTCTCTCTCTCTCTCTCTCTCTCTCTCTTTCTTCCTTTCTCTCTCTCTAATTAATTAAAAAAGCCCCAGTCTTATGAAGCTTTCACCATTTGAACACAGGCTCTATAAAAGCATCAGAGACTCTAATACACTCATGCATTGACATCAAAGGGGGATACGTTGACTACAAGACCATTTATTTGAAGTCCTATTCCCCCGTGACACAATCTACCAAAACAACTAACACGTGACCGAATGAGCTGGGTTATTTACCTCTTTGGCTCCGCCCTTTGGAGTCTTTGTCTAAAGAATCCTTTCCGAGATTGCGTTTCCTGACATGTAAAGGTGGGGAATGGCTTCCTTGAGTGGTTGTGAATATTAATTAATTCTGCAAAGCTCTCCACATGGTACCTGGTGCACAGTACTAGTAAGAGCTGGATGAGAGGAAGCTGTTATTACTTGTTAGTGTTGTGTGTGAGCAAAATTTAGCAAGTTATTTAAAGCCTTGGACATTATTTTCTCTTATATACAACAACCGATGGCACTTTGGATTATAAAAAGTTGAAACGTAAAAAGCTGTGGAATAGAGACAATGCCAAGTACACAGGGACGTTTCCAGACATTTCTATATTCTATAGAATGGGTCCCTAAAAAATTGAGACTTGGCTGTGGTATTCTTAGGTTGTTAGGAATATTTCAAGCTTTTATATCTGTTATAGCCTATGAAATGCATGATAAATGAAAAATACATTTAATTACAAATGCTCTGAAATGTTATATTGGGAGGAGGGGTGTAGGCAGCTGCTGCTGTGAAATTTGCAACTGGAATTGTTAAAGCTGGGGGACAACGAAGCGTTTTCTTATTCTGAAAAAAAATGGGGGGCACCTCGTCTTACCCACAGCCGGTTAATGCAGCGTGTTCTTGGGGGAAGCACCCACTATATATATTCAGTTGATGTTAAATGATGCATCAGAGGACATGAGATTTTGCTTGACAAAAGGAAATTTTCATGACATGAAGGTTTGAGGAATGTAGGCTATTGAACAAAACACAGGCCGAACACCATTCTTGGTCATTTTTCACAAATAATGACCGTTCTATTCTCTTTTTCCTCATGTAAGTGCCCTGCTGTCCAGCCGGCCTGACAGTGACTCAGGTCACCCAATCAGTGGTCAACGTGAGCTGGACTGTTGGGACCGGGGCCCTCACCTACGTGACCGTCCTGGCGTCCCGCACTGGACAGTCTCAGTGTCGCACCCATCAAAACCACTGCCTCCTGGGATGCATCACCTGTGGCGTCAATTACACAGTGGCCTTAAAAGCAATCAGCGCCACCGGGCTGACTGCAGACTGCGCCTACCAACGCTACGCCTCTAGTAAGTGGATCCTTAACCCACTCTACAGCATCCATAAGGGCCTTGACTACCCATCTTAAGTCCAAGCGTAAGGCCTTCCTTCTCACATAGAAAGATGCCGTTTCTCCTGGGAAAGAGCTCCATGATCAGCTAATGGTATCTGCCGCAGGGCCTGGGACAGGAGAGTTGAAATATAATTTTGCCAGCCCAGGGGTTGGAGAACAAGTCTGCAGCTAGGAGTCTAATGACATGGCTTCGTATAAGCTGTGCTGCCTTATCTTCCCTGGTTCTGTTTCCTCATTGGGAAGAGGAATGAGAATAATCAGAACAAGAAAGCATATGTAACGGGCTACAAATACGTAAGGTGGTTTATACCATTTTCTGGCCCGTTACTTTTCCTTAGATTTGCTGCCTGAGTTCTCACCCTGATATCTACTTCTGGGAATATGGCCCTTTGCTTAGCTTCACACTCCTACCCCCAAAAAGATTTTTTAAAGAATAAATCCAGCCCAGCCAGTGTGGCTCAGTGGTTGAGCACCAACCTATGAACCAAGAAGTCACCGTTTGATTCCCTGTCAGGGCATATGCCTGGGTTGCGGACTCGATCCCCAGTGGGGGGCGTGCAGGAGGCAGCTGATCAATGATTCTCTCACATCATTGATGTTTCTAGCTCTTTCTCCCTCTCCCATCCTCTGAAATCAATAAAAATATTTTTTTAAAAAGAAGAAGAAATCCAATGAGCCTGATTATCTATAACGGAATTTTTCTTCTTATTATACAACATCTTTATTTCAGTTACCGAGGAATCCACCCTGTGGTGCCCTGCTTGACACCCGATGTGTGATCCGCTCAAGGCATTTGGAAAAGAGAAAAAAGTGCCTCGTTGGCTAGCCCGGGTGAAGTGTGACCCGCAGAGCTGGTCACAGAGCTGGTCACCTGCCTGTGGTGTGAGCGACTGCTCCCCTGGCATTGCTGCGTTCAGCACAATAGGTCTTTTCAGTTAGAGCTGACGGCAGCCAATGATATTTAAATCCAATCCCACGAAAAGCATCTGAAACTGGGGCAGGAGGAAGCCTCTTGACAAGGGGTCTGTGCCTTTGCCTCATAACTTTTGACTCATCTACACCACGTATTGGCCAGAGGTGACTTTTGGACTCACCATTGCTCCCTCTTAAAAATCCACGCCCCTGGTGATGGAAAAAAGAAAAGAAAAAAAATACACACACATGGATTTCTCCCCTCTTCTTTTTTACAGTTTAGTGCATTTACTTAACTTGTTTTTACACATAGATTTCTAACCATGTGGCCCACCATGGGAAGAACTGAGTACCTCTTCAAATCTTGCTTTCAGCACATACCCCTTAGCATAAGTTAGTGGTATTGTTTCCCCATCGCAATAAAGGCCACGTTTGTGCGACGGGGGAATAAGCGATTTGTGTGTGTTTCTTTGTTGTCCTTCAGGTGCCTGCTGCCCGCTGGGCGTGAAGCTGTACAGGCTGGGCCCTAACGGCATCCGGGTCGACTGGCGCGCCGCCAGGGGCTCCGCCAACTACAGCACTGACCTCTATGGCTCCAAAGGCATTTTCACCTGCTCCCCAAGCGCCGGCCTCAGTTTCTGTGACGTCACAGAGATACCCTGCGGGGACGTGTATACCGTGATGGTCTCACCGGTGGCTGAGACAGGACTGAAGCTCACCTTCTGTCCAAAAAAAATATACTCAGGTAGAGCAAGTGATGAGTCTACTTAAAACGAACCCGCCACACAGTCTGTGAATGGAGACTCAGGGCCACTCACACTTGCCTGTGGGAAAGAAGGTCAAAGAGGGGACGATGCCCTGGCCGGTGTGGCTCAGTTGGTTGAGCATCGACCCATGAACCAGGAGGTCACGGTTCGATTCCCGGGTCAGGGCACCTACCCGGGTTGCGGGCTCGATCCCCAGTGTGGGGCATGCAGGAGGCAGCTGATTGATGTTTCTCTCTCTCTCTCTCTCTCTCTCTCTCTCTCTCTCTTCCTTCCTCTCTCTGTAAAATACATTTAAAAACATAATTAAAAAGAGGGTGTGACATTTCCACGTCCTGCAGGCAGATTCTGGCACCTGGGGACCCCCGGCTTCTTGGGAATTGTGATGTCTCATTATTGTTTGATCTGGAGACGCTCCATCTCCCCTCCTCCTCTCTCCTTCAGGAAAAGGACCGGATGTTCGCTGCTTAAATAGTAGAGGCGATTTTTAAATGAGTTTCTGCTTTCAGATTTTTTTAACACAGTCTTAAGAGAGAACAGTAGACGCCCTGGAACGTTGAAAATTAAGACACTTTAACTTTTACTTGTACAGATTCAGTCTGGTGACTGAGGAAGAGTTGGGGGATCCGAAAAAAAACAAATTCATAAATCCTAAGCTGGGCTTGGCAGGATGTGATCACAATCAGAACAGTTCCCTGCCCTGTGTTCCAGCCCCTCCCTCCCGCTGCTGTGCCCAGGCATACTCATGTATCTTTCATAAACTTCTAAATAAAAGAAAAGAGACGAGGCAGCCTTCGAACACAGGAAGAGGAGTCAATATTGGCTCAGAGATCTTCGCTGAGAAGCGGAATCTGAAAGGTCCAATTCCGTGGAGGTGACAGGAAGGTTCGGGAGGGCTCCGGGGATGGAGCCCGGCCAGTCCCTCTGCGGGGGTGTCCCCCTGTCCTTGGCTGTCATGCTCCGATTCCCTATTTTTTCATTATCTTGTCCACAGGACGTGCTGGCCCAAAGCACATCCCTCCGGGAAGTGACAGGATTAGGTTGCTGGGGTGGGGATGCGCTCTGAGGAAATAGAGCTTCCAGCTCATAACAGGATTTCATTATCTCTGCGGAGTGTTTTACAGTCTGTCAAGCGTTTTATTTTTTTGTTAATCCTCACCGGAGGATATTTTTCCATTAATTTTTGAGAGAGTGGAAGGGTGAGGGAGAGTCAGACAGAGAGAGCCAGGGATGTGAGAAGACACATTGATGGCTGCCTCCTAGACATGCCCCGACCGGGGGCTGGGACCGAGCCTGCAACTGAGGTACGTGCCCTTGACCAGAACTGAAACCGGGAGCCTTCAGTTCTCTGGCTGATGCTCTCTCCACTGAGCCAAACTGGCTAGGGCTCTACCAAGTGTTTTAAAATGTATCGAGTGTTTTCACATTCAATATCTCACAGAATGCTCTTTCCCTGGTAAAAACCATGGACGGGGGACATTTTTTGGTGGTGTTTTTAGAGTTTTTTTGTGTTGTTTTTTTCCTTCTTCAGTAATGATGATGCGTTACTCTGATAATTAGGACAATATTATAAATGATAATAATGACTAATAGTTATTGACTATATGTTGCAATTACTATAAGTGTTTAGATGTTTTAATTGATTTTTATAATAACCCTATGAAGTTGGCATTCTTCTTACCCCTTACAGGTAAACTGAGGCACAGGGTAGTGAAGTGACTTGCCCGAGGTCAGATTGCTAGTAGTTATCTCCTTCTCCCGTCACCCAAATTGGTTCTTATTTGTTCTTTTTAAAAAAAACATATTTTTATTGATTTCAGAGAGGAAGGGAGAGGGAGAGAGAGATAGAAACATCAATGATAAGAACCATTGATCAGCTGCCTCTTGCACAGCCCCCCTCCCACTGGGGATCTAGCCCGCAACCCAGGCATGTGCCTAGACCAGGAATTGAACCGTGACCTCCTGGTTCACAGGTCGATGTTCAATCACTGAGCCACGCCCACTGGGCTCTCATTCATTCTTTGGTTTACTTTCCCTTTATTCTTTCTTAAGTTGTATCACCTTAAACATATCAGTAAGTATATTTGAAATGCCGTGTTTTTATTTATTGCAGTCACCTGCTCTGGAAGTACACTTGGAATGGGTAAGTCATTTTTCTCGTGGATGAAATGGAAGGCGACTTTCTTGTTGCATTTTAGGGCGACAATGAAGTCAGGATCAAAGCTGACTCTTCAATTAATCAGGGAGACAAATGCTAGGGTGTCTGCTTCCGGTTTGCATGGGTGGATATGCCCAGGGGAGGGAAAGGGGTGCTGAGAGGGAGACTGGGGTAAGATAACGCTCACTGCCTCCTTGGATGTGCTCTGGGCTGACTCCATCGAGGCTATTCTGGGCGCCCCATGGAGGCCACCGTTGGGCCAGGCCGCGGAGATGACCACACCGAGCCGTGTGTGCCAACCCGGTCAGTGGCATGCGCTGCTTCAGGAGAAATGCTTGCCATGCTCTTTTAGGGGCGGCTTGGTTTGGGGCCTTGGGACCCCTGGCTCCAAGGAGTAATATAAACCCAGACCGCAGACAGAACTTGCGTGCACCTACACATATGCCCAGTCGGACATGGCTGACTTCAGAGCATGTGAGTGGAAATGAGGCCTTCCCACCAGCAAGTCCCACCTGCCTGCCCCCAGTCTGGGCCAGCTTCCCATCCGACACCCGTCCACGGGAGGGATCAGGGCTGAGTCTCTCCCCATCACCTGTTCTCTGCTTCCGCTCCCAGCCCAGTGCTCCTCTGAGCTCAGCAGGACACCCGTGTGTCTGAAACAAGCCCAATCCCTATGAATGTTTAAAGGGTTCCTGTTTCCAGTGGCTGCAAGGAAACAGGCCTAACTTATTAAAAACCAACTGTGAAAAACTTCTAAATTATTAAAAAACGACTTTTAAAGAACTCCCAAGGTACAAATGACCTAGTCTTCAGGGAAATGTATATGAGCCTAGGTCTGCATTCTTGGAAACGATTTCCATTATTACACTTTGTTTTGTTGTTGTTGTTGTTGTTAATCCTCACTTGAGGATTTTTCCATTGTTTTTTTAAAGAAAGTGGAAGGGAGGGAAGAGGGGAGAGAGAGACAGAGAGAAAGCGAGAGACAGACATACACACACACACCTTGATGTGAGAGAGAAACATCGATCGGTTGCCTCCCATACATGCCCCTGACCGGTACTGGAACTCGCAAACTAGGTCTGTGCCCTGATCTGGCATTGAAACTGCAGCCTTTTGGTGGATGGGATGATGCTCCAACCAACTGAGCCACCAGGCCAGGGCTCAACAGCATAATTGCATTTTTAAAAAAAGACAGAGCTGGGTTCAAATCCTGCCCCTACCACTTGCCCTTAGGCAAGTTGCTTCAGTGCTCTCTCAGCCTAGGTTTCCTCATCTGTAAACTGGAATAAATCATCACCGTATAAGATGTTGTGAGGATGAAATGAGATGTAAATAGTTGGACACAAGACCCATAGCAAGTACTGAATAAATGGTAGTTACGATTAACTCAGGGTCCGCTTAAGCTCCTGTCACACTCTGTTATGTGTCATCTAATGTGCGACTTCTAAGGTATTTGCATTTTGACTGTGGTCCTCATGATACCTTTGTCGGTTCTCCAACCGTGGTCCCAGGGCCAACAGCATGAGCAGCATCTGGGACCTTCTTAAAGGTGCGATTTCCAGGTTCCACCATAGTCCTACTGAACCGGAATTTCTGATTGTGGGGCCTACCTAGCAAGCTTTGTGTTAAGGAGCCTGCCGAGTGACTCTAAGGCGCGCTCAGGTTTGAGAACCAAGGTCTAATTCAAGGAGGCTGCTCTGATGCTGGAAATGTGATGCCGGTGGGAGGGCGAGGCAGACCATCCATTCGAGGAGACAGGCTTTAACCCGAGGTAGACTGCAGCGCCGTGCCTGCCATCACTCTGTGCCTCTGTCGTCTTCAGCGCCCCGCTGTTTCAGTGTGTCCTACACATTCCAGGGAACTGGGAGGGGGGGTGCGTTTCCTCTTCACAACTCCCTGGGCAATTGGTTTACGCGTTCTCTACACAATGTTCTCCCTGAACCATTGAAATTGTGGAGCTCCCTGAGCACAGAGCAGGTGGCCTGGAGTGGAGAGGAAGGTTCTTCCCTCTGGGTTTGCAGTCTGAGCTCAGAGAAGCTCTTCTCTGGGAGCGTGCATTTCAGGAAGCAGGACCCAGACCAGGAAGCAGGACCCAGACCCCCTGGTTAGTTACGCTTGCTAGTCTAGTCGGTTTCTTCTTTTCCCTCTGAACAGTTCAGACTCTTAATTGCCGGTTCCTCCTCCCTGTGAAATAGCCTTTCAGATCAAAACACTAATCTAACCCTCAGAGACATTTGAGGGCTTTTTAATGTAAGAAAATGTCTGCTTATGTCATGCATCGTGTGGCTTCTCCCCTCCCTTGTCGCTCTCAGTGATTTACAGAGGGAAGAGAAATGCAGAGTGACCGAGCGAGGCGCAGTGACAACGGAGGCTTGACCTAGTGAGTAATTGGAATCGACATGGTGTGATTCAAAGGCAAAGTGTTTTGTCTTTGTCTTTCAAAGTTCTCCCCTCTTATGTTTTGCAGGGTTGTCTCAAACGTTAGTGTGACTAGAGATGGACAAGCTCCATTAGCCTACACAATGCATCTAGCACAGGACTAGCTCTTTAGAAGAACAACTCTGACTCCGGAAGGCGAGGTCAGGATCCCGGCCGGTGTGGCTCAGTGGTTGAGCGTCAACCTATGAACCAGGAGGTCACGGTTCCATTCCCTGTCAGGCAGGGCACATGCCCGGGCTGCAGGCTCGATCCCCAGTAGGGGGCGTGCAGAGGCGGCTGATCAATGATTCTCTCTCATCATTGATGTTTCTCTCTCTCTCCCTTCCTCTTTGAAATCAATATATTAAAAATTAAAAGAAAAGATGTGCTGCGGAGAGGACCGGGGAGAGATATAGACCCAGCAAGTCCTCCGGAAGGCTGCCAGCGTGAGCCGTGCCCTGGGCAAGCCCTGGACACATGGAAGGTCTACTTAAGAGATTTCTTCTGAGATTTCACATCCAGACACGCCACGGCCTCAGCCCATCTGTTTCATCGACACCAGCCCTGGCCATGTAGCCCTTTAACCATTCAAGGGCTGCAAAGGTTCACTCCCAGAGAAGGCGACATCAGGCCACATACAGAGACTCCACTCATCCCCAAGCAAACCACCCGGACTTCGGGACTTCGGGACTTCGGGCCGGCAGCACTGCCAGGCCCACCTGTCCTGCCCAGCGGCTTGCAGCGGGGGCCAAGCCACAGCGTCGGGCTGTGGGACCTCTGCTGGAGCGCCTGGGAGAGCTGAGTTGTTGGCCAGTTTCTGAAAGATCGCAGCCATGCTTGTGCGTGTGCAAACCCTTCGGATGAAGAGACAGCCGGGGCAGGGCCTCAAACTGTGGCAGACTGACATACGTGTACCTTTTGGGGGAAGGACCATCAATCTTGTTGGCTGTATCCCCCTCTCACACTGTAACCGTTTTTTTCCATCTCTGGAGAGGAAAGGCAATGATTATATGTAATATAAAGCTGTTATACCTAGAAAAATGTATGTTCTTCGAATGCCAGTAGCCTTCATATAAAATAGTACTATAGTAACACACACACAACTAAAGTGGCCACACAGAGAAGAGGGCTGGGTTTAGTTCACGTTTGTTCCAGTGAATGAACGGGACTGGGACAGGTGCGTCCACATCACTTGAGGAACTCATTAGTTAACACACATTCCCGGGTACCACCCCTGGTGACTCTAACTCAATAGATCTGGGACTGGGCCTGAGAATCTGTATTCGTGACAAACTCACCAAGTGATTCTGACATGTGGCCAGGTTTGGGGATCTTAAAAGGCTTGCCTTCACCAGCTCTTCTTTGAAGCAAATTTCAGTGGTGGGAGGCTGAGAAGTGTTCAAAAATAACTGAGGCTTAGCATAAAGTGACTCCATTTTGGGCGGTTTGTGTTGTTTTTAACAATGCCATATGCTGGGCTTGAACCCATATTATGGCTGATTCTATATTTCATTTTCAACCCTTCTAAAAAGCAAAAACTGCAGGTTATCTTACACACTGCTCTATTTCTAACTTTCTGTTTAACTCGAGCCTGGTCTTTTTCCCACTCCACCCCTGGCTGTGCATCCCCAACTAAGTGACTTAACTTCAGTAAGCCTCAGTTTCCTTGGTAAGGAATGCTGTGAAGGTCAATGAGCTAATCTACTTACCACGGGTTCCTGGCATATTGTAAGCCCTCAGTAAACATTAACTATTATTAGTAGTAACAATTTCCACTTCCCTATGTGACCAACTTGAATTAAGGCCATTGGTTCTTTGCAAATCTCTGTAGGAAAGCCTACTTTCTGCCAGTGTGTGCGATGGTGATGTCACAGTTGGGCCACAGAAACTGCAGAAACTGATCTAATTCATGACCAATTGCTTTGAATTTCAAGTCTCAAAAGAATTATCTCAAGAAACAGACCCCTGCCTAAACTTTCTAAGTCTGAGCTCCGATGATCTCCTCCGGGAATCAGCTTTCAACAGTAATTCCCGTCTTTGGGATCCTAAAGCATTGATAGCCTCTCCCATACAATTTGGCACATGAATTTATGTTTAGCAAATAAATAATCATTGTTTTATTGGTTCATTTATGTATAGCATCATTATTAAAGCATTTGTTTTTGAAACCAACTTTTGACTACTTTCAGCATTCCAGGAATTGAGCGCTATAATGTGACTATAAGTTCTTCAGGAGTGGGTTTAGCACACAGGAGCACAGGAGGTCACCTCATAGTTCTACACCATTATTCTGTCCCTGAAAATGGCATAAAATCAACTTTTGGAGGGGGGTACATTTTCCGTTCGGTTGTTTAAGTGGCTACTGAGTGAAGTCTATTACGAGTCGTTTCGCGAAGGGAAGAATTCTTTTGGAAAGCGAAGAATCCCCCCTTCTTCTTGTCTAGCACCCACGAATTCGAAAATCTCTTGGGTGTCATCAGCTGACAATCTGTCGGCACGTTTTGTTTTGCTTCTGACGTCACGCGAGGTTGACGTGACCCCGCCTCCCGCTAGGGGGCGCGCGACTGCCCGCGGAGCTTCCACCCGCACTGCGCAGCCTCCGTCCAGGGGTGGGCGGGGCTTCCGTGCGGACGACGTGACGTCACCGGCGGGCGCGGCCGGCGGGGGGCGTGGCCACCGGAGTGCCCCAAATCCCCGCTGAAGTAGGTGGCGAGCCTGCGGGAGGCGGCGGCCGCTCCTCCGCAGCGACGGGAAGATGGCGCCGCCGGAGACGGAACGGGGGCTGAAGAGCGTCGTGTGGCAGAGTGAGTGCGCAGGGGTCGGGGCCGAGAGAGGCGGCCTGGCCTCCCGCCCCGGAGCCGGCTTCCTCTGGGGGAGCGGCCGCGGGCACTTGTT